GATAATATCAAGTGATTTGTGTGATTATTGAGAAATTCTTGCATATTTTAAACCAAGATGGTAGAAACCCTAGGTTCTTATGGAGATAGAGATATACTCCTAACCTTAGGTAACAATTTGAGTTATTTTCATTGATATTAAATGCTTTTAATTGTGTTTAATCACCATAGAGATATAATAGGTCTAACCAATTGATTAGGGTTAATTTCACTCGAGAGAGGTAATTAACTAAAATGGGAAAATCGGGTTTAACAAGTTAAGAAAGCATGTTCTATCAAGTTGTTTGTGAGAAATTAATTTAGTGACTACCAAGTTTCAGTGACTGCCAAGTGGAATCATGAATCCCGACCCGATTAAAATCCAAATTTTCATCATTGTTATAATTGTGTGTTTTTAATTGAAAGTGTAAAATCATTTTTTCTTTCATTTTCAATTTAGAAGATTTTAATTGTGTGTGACTTTACCGTTAATCGAATAAACTCTCATGCAATTGAAATAAACACTCTTCGAGGGATTGACTCGAACTTAAAAAGTCCACTCTATTACTTGTACGTGATCTGTGCACTTGCGGTGTATTATTTTAGCGAACAAAAACAATGATGGAAACTAAAAATTGGAATCATATATCACAGCATGGCATGAGCATTGTTTTACCAAAATCAGTTGTATTTAGGTGTGGAAATTCTAGGGAAAAAAAGGTGTGCTCTACCAACTTGTATTCAAATGAAATATTTCCTCCAATTTTGAGAAGACATTTTATCGAATGTTTGGCATAGAACATCACTATTCTAAGATTAATTTGAGAGATTGTACCTTCTTGGTTGTACATTGCCAAAGCATAATATCAATTATCACACGCCCCCCAGGGCACTTCTCCACTGGCAAAGGACGGACGCTGTCAAATTTGGCAGAGCAGAGGTCGTGAGTTCGAAACATGGGGCTCTTGGAAGGCAAGGGAACATTTGGAAGGCAAGGATTTATTCTTGGAAGGCAAGTGGGAACTTGGAAGGCAAGGATTATTCTTGGAAGGCAAGGTGCAACTTGAATTGGCTTGCTTGGCACTTTGTCAGACCAGGTGGGGAGCACTCGGACCCTGGCCAGTTGGAGGCACATCCTGCGATTAACCGGACTGTGTGAAGAGGGGCCGGATCACAGACCCAAGGATTAGTCTAGAATAGGACACCTTGTAAAAAAAAAAAAAAAAAAATTATCACACTATATAAAACTTGCAGTAGTATCTCAATCTGGCCTTGATTGCTATGGAAGAAGACGCGTCAATTTATTTTTGCTGGAAAAAATTGGGATAAAGCTTCCAAGAAATCCTACCACGGCCTTTCTTTTCGTTGCTTTCCATTGTGGTTATTATAAGAAAACTCAAGAAATAAAACAATAGGCCCAAGAAGAAGAAATTGCGGCCCATTAAAGAAACTAAAGAACAAAAAGCTTTTAAAAAGAAAGTGGACCTCATGGCCTAGGGAAAGTAAAATTATTTGGCCGAATTATAATTGATAAAAGGGAAAATTTCGTAATTAAGAGGTTAAGTATCACTTATTTCAAAACTAAAAACAAAGTTTTCAAATTTTAAAAATCAGATATTAATTAAGATTTATTTATGATTTAATTAATTAAATATATATTTTGTTAATTAAATGTATTAAGATCACACAAACTAACGAATTAATTAGTCACATGTTATTTTACAGTTGCAAATCAAAAATTTTATATGTCGTAAATTATTTCAAGGCCACACATAAAAAATTTCATTCGTCCCAAATTAAAATATTTATACACCACAATTTTTTTATTAGTCACAGATCACAAATGTTATGAGTTATAACTTATTAGATAGTCACAAATTATCAAATTATTGATTACAAATTAACAATTTTTTAAGTCACACATTATTTTTTGTCATAATTTATATTTTTCATTAGTCATATATTGTTTATTGGTTACATATTAACCATTTTAATGGTCTAATCAACCAAATAATTTGTGACCACCAACAACACTTGTAACCACCACATCACTACTGCCTCCAACGGCACAACCATCCTCGTCGTTAGAATCATAGACGGCGTTTCAAACAAATCAACACATCACAAGAAAATACCACCACATCCTACCACCTTACCAGACCCATCTCCACCACCATCTCATCATCACTGTCACCGCTGTTGCACACCACTAAGCACAACCACTCGTTGTTGTCGCTACCACTACTGTACCACTACAACTGTATGAATCAACAATCACCATAACCACCTCCTTAAGTCCACCATCTCTTTCATCTCTACCATAAATGCAAATGAAGAAAATAGATTGAGCTGACATTGTACGCAGTGATGCGGCAGAACTCGCAGAAGCGCTCATAGCAGCAGGCCATAGCGGTGTTGCACGTGGAAGCATTGATGAATGAAGGGCGATTGGCGCCAGAGATGATGGAAGTGGTTGATCGGGGTCATTGTAAAATTGTACAAATATAAATAAAGGTAAACTAGAAAAATTTTTGGCAAATTTTTTTTTTTTCAACAACATTAAATAAAATTTCTTAATCTGTGCAAAAAACAAAATCAGTCTATATAAATAGGGCGAAAGGAGTACTATTAATCGGATGTGTGTATGTGAGTGCATATAACTTACAGAGAATTGTTGATCTTCCCTAGACCAAGAAATAATAATCAGTAAAAATTTTTGAACAATTTTAATAGTGTCAAGTATTGTAATTTATTGAGATCCCACTACTCTCTGTCCTATGAATTGTCGACTTACAAGTTACCTTCCTATAAATTAATAGTTCTGCCACAATGGATACTCCCTTTGATCTCTTTCACTCGGGTGAGTGATAAATTTTGCTAGGAGCCTTGATGGATGGGTTCCTTGTAGATTTTTTTTTGGACATAACCTTGAATTTAAAGAATAACAATTTTTAAATGTCTACCCAAATTTAGTTGTGCCCTTGTGTTTAGTACTCGATGGCAGAAAACTTGTATTCAATCTAACAAAAAGTATCTAAGTTAACTACCGATTTGTTTTATTGATAGAAGTCATATGGCAGTGGCCTGGGGAGGAGGAGCCTAATTTTGGTGGTGGTTGAATGTAAAGTCAGCTAGTGCTGGGTATGTTGGTATAAGTGGTTGAAGTTATTAGCAGTGGTGCTTGGAAGTGGATATTGATTCAAATGTTGATTGCGTTGGTCAAAGTTATATTTTGTTCATAGTTTTTTGGTCTTGAAAAAATAGTAAGGAGCAGTAATTAGCAGACAAGCAGTAATGGTAAGTCATAGTAGTAAAATGTAGGGATTTATTGAAATAGAAACGATGTCAACTATAGAAGGATAAATAATTTAGTGAACATGTTAAATTAATCTGTTAAAATTTCAAATTATCATTTTGTTTCATAGTATAAACATTTCATCAGGGTCATATACAAAAAGCTAACATAATTTCTTCCTACAATTAAGCTACATTATCTCTCTGATAATTTGTTGGTGCTTGGATGTATCTGTGTTTATGTGTGCACTTTTTTGTTTACAAACATACGATTGAAATGATTGCTTAATACTAACTCTTGTTCGTGCAAAGAAAAAACTAGTTCCTACACGTGCAATATAAGGGAATTTGTGTTACCTTGTAACATTTTGCACCTCTACAGGAAAGATTGCACACTTAGAAGCCATGTGACTAGCACATGCATCCGACATTTTAGGTTCTTTTCAATAGTAAATCAACTTTTTCAAACTTACCTTTATTATTATTATTATTATTATTATTATTATTATTATTATTACTACTCAAGTACACAACTTCTAAAATGACAATTCGTAGAACTGTATCTTCGATAAATTAAAAGCTAAATTTATTTTACTACTTTTCTGGATAATGAGGCTTCTTACTTGGGACAAGTATGTTGCAAGACAAATATGATACATTGGAGTGTGTATCATAAGATAATAGAAAAATATTTCGCACATCTTTTTTTATTACTTACATCCAGTTCTATATAAATTAATATATTTCTAAATCAAATTTGATATTTAGGTCCTGTTTGTTTCCAATTTTTGTAAAAATGAAAATGAAAAATATAACTGTAACAAGCCTCATACAAGAGATAAAAATTCAAATTTGATGGTTTGATGTGATGAATAACGATTAGATTTTTCATTTTAATGGAAAAAAATGGAAAACAAACAGGGGCTTAGTGTTGAATATGATTGAAAATTAAATAAGTAACATTTTTTTTCCCTTAAAAGTCTTATGTTCTTAAATTAATATTTATTTAACAAAACATGTAAATAAAATGTAAATTGCTCTTTATATACTTTTGAACTAAAATTTGAAGGCTCTTTTGTGTTCCATGCATATATTTTTCTTTTCTTATGTTATTATATAAGGAAACAAGCTTACAGTGCATCTTCACTGCAATCATTTGGCTAATTTGCTTGTCACTAAACTAACGATAATAGCAATTTATGACCTTGTAAGGGCTTGTCTGGATAAGATTAAGAAGTATAGTGACAAACTTCATGTTTGCTCAAGTTGAAGAAAGTATAAAGAAAGTTTTCATGTTTGCTCGAGTTTCAAGATAAGATTGAAAGTCAATTGATAAAGAATCAGATGGTAAAAGGGTATACAAAATGGACAGACCAAATTATCATCTCTAAAACATGTAGAGTAGAGGATTATTTCAGCTCACGACTTGAAATATTGAATGCTTTAGACAACTTATCGGACTCATAAGCAAGAAGCGGATCCTAGCTCATGATGGAAGAGCCAACATTCTTTCGTGTCTATAGATCACGAGCTTACTCGAAGAAGTACTTAAAATTATAGAAACCTACTTTCAGACCTGTACTATAGTTTAGAAAGCTAATCAAGGGCAAAACCTCTTCTTTTGTCTTCCAAACCTCGAGAATCAAGTTCCAACATATTAACAAGAATGACACTTGAAATAATGATAATGAGATTTGAAATAATTCTCAAAACAAAGGTAAGACACATTTCAACAAAATTAATAACGAACAAGCCATTACCTTTTTGACGTTCACATTCTCTTCTTAGAAATTTAAAACATCAATGTATTCCTCTAGGATCCCATGACTTGTGCCAAATATTTTACGACCATCAAGAGTCACCGTTCTACTCTAAATTTAGCTTGTTCAGGACTTTTTATGGCCACCACAGCTACTTTTCATGATCAATAGTACCAACAAGTACCCTACAAAAGCCTCGACAAACAAGATATGAGCCTCATGAATAAGGTATTCCAACATAATGGCCGACTCTATTTTCTTCAACACGCAAGCTGTCAAGAGAAATCTTGTCTGTATATACAGTACAATACAATGATAAAAACAGCCCCTTCTTCATGAGACCAAAGACAACAGATAGGTTTGCCTTGTTCTTATAATTGCCTGACTCAGCACTAACGGCACCAACCTTAAGAATTTCAACATGAATTGTTTCGGCTTCGTCTTTCCTGCTCAAACGAAAATTTGACAATTCGAATTTCTTCAGCTGTAATGGATCAAATAATGATTTAGTTAGACTCATCATATACAGCACATAAAACGATGCCAAATTGACACAAGCAATAAAATGGTAACACAATAAAGATAGCCAATAAACCCCACGGTAAGCATTACAATTTAGACATGCTGCAATGTAATTAATATAATCAGCACCAAGAAATCACCGAGTTCTACAAAATATAGTCAATAAAACCATTGAATCAGTAAAAAAGTTCCACGATGTGTTAAAAAAGGATACATATTCCAATGTTTTGCGAAAAAATTCTTCAGATACATAAATCTACGTGGAGGGATCTCTCTCTCTCTCTCTCTCTCTCTCCACTTTACATATGTTTATACCAGCAATCAAATTAAGTTCAATTTATTCTATTATTTCTGACGTATATTCAATCACAAAATAATAATATACTCCAATCATTTTCATAAGAGAAACAAATTTATAAATTCAGAAAAACCTATATTTCACCTTCCATATTACAATTTAAATAGTCATTTACTGAAAATGAATTTATTCTGATGTAAATTCAATCACAAAATAATCATTTACTCCACTCATTTTCTTAAGAGAACAAACTTTAATATTATTAAAAAAAAAACGACATCACGCACCAGAACTTCAACATTCAAGATTTGATCTTTGTATTTATTAGTTAGTAGTTGTTGACACACAAAAAGTTTTGCCCAAATCGAATAGCCCAAAGAATGAAGTCCAATTGAAGGATCCCCAAATCAGATAACCCAAAGAACGGCTCAATCAGGCAATTCAGGATAAAGGCCCAAATAGGGAAGCTCATGAACGCGGTAATACCATCGTCCAAGATTGCAAGTCGCCCAAGATTTGAGCGAATGGATTGCCATGCAGTCGCCCAGAGCCGTGACTCTGTTCTCGCCCAAACCTTTGAGTCGCCCATGATCTTATCAAACATAAGATGTTATGGTTACTCAAAGGTGCGGTTAATGAAGCAGTTATTGAGTAGCCATATCACGTTCCACGATTCAAGGAATTCAATTGAAGACGGTTGAATGACAAAAAGTAATGGCAGCAGTTAGAGAAGGCAGTTCCATAATAAGTTGGCCACTATGAAGAAAGTGGGCAGTTATAGAGTGATCAAGCAGTTTTTAAGTGGTTGATCACGAAGAGATCACCCAGGAAGTATAAAAGGAATAAAAGACATAAAGCAAAGGAGACCGAATCAAACACTCTCAAACAGAGAATATGTAACTTTCAATTTCTTAGTTTAGATTTAAACACTTTTTTTCAATAACTCGTGTACTTACGCCCCTTGGAGGTATTTTGTTTTATTTTCCAATTGTAAAGTCATCGCCAATAAAAACACTCCTTTGTGGGACTTTGTCTCAAGAGGTTTGTCCCTTACACAATCGTCTGATTCATTTTTAATTGTTAGCGACTAACTCGCGTGAAACAATAGTAAAGTCTGCTGGTTGTTACGTTCTTCAATTGTAAAGTGGAATTCCTTTGGAGCCTTCTCAAACTATGGAACAGATGAAATAGTTGTAGTCATTTCATCGAATAAGGAACATGCTAAAACAGCAAATGCATTCTCACAATAAAATCAATAATGGCTATCAAGCAGAAAGAGTAAAATTTGAACCTTCTCCTCTTCCTCTTGCGACTCCATTCCTCGCATAAATAACTCTTGGATGGTCGACCTGGTGGAGTAGTAATGGAGAGATGAAGGAAATAACCTGTGAAAGAGCTTTCTAGAGAGTCCGGCGCGGCTGACAGAGCGGATTAAATGGTGACTACAGAAAGAAGACCCGATGGCCAAAGGTACAACCCTTGAAGCTATTGTTGTAATCATGCCCCTTCAAATCAAAATTAAAAACTAGAAAAATTAAAAATGTGGAAAATTTTACAAAACTAAGAACAAAAGAAAAACTTACCAAATTCTTGTCATTTTCTTCGCGAAACTGTTTATACTTGAAGAAAAGATCACCTTCTTCTCCCTACGTTGGTTCCAAGGGAGTGGTAAAGGTATCGAGCAGAATGGTAGATTATTGCGTACGGGTTTTAGAATGCTTGGGCCCGTTTTGTTTTTGCTTTTGTTTTTCATTTTTTGCTTTTGTTTTGGGTAATGTTATTTGCACTCGCAAAGTGCGATAGTCTTTCAAGGTAGCATACAAGTAACAGTTAATAATTTGATTAATTAATGTAATAGTTTTTTATTACCTTATGCAACAAATTTCTAACCATCACACGTATGTTATTTAAGACGACTACGGTAATGAACGATTATAAATAACATTATTCTTTTATTTTTACTTATTATTTGGAAAAAGTCAGGGTACGACTATTAAGTAGCCACATTAAATTAAAATTTATTTTTCTCTTTCTTCTTATCAATCACATATTTTTCAATAAAATAATATTACACGTAAATCTAAAAATCTTTCTTTTCTTTTTAATCATGCATTTTTAAAAAAATTACAATTCTCTTCATTATATTTTGAAAAAAATAGAGCCCAAACAAGGACTTACATGAACAGTTTTTATATATTCATCTCACTTTATATTCATCAATATTAAAATATTAAAATTTTGAAAAATTACTATTGCCATCAAAGTCACATTCCAGTTTTGCCCTTATTGAATTCGTTCATTTAAATACAATATATCCACACAAATCTTATATATTTATTACACTCTAAATACACCCATAATACGATTTCAAAATTTTTAAAAAAATCACTAAATTCATCCCCATTAGCCCCCGTTTGACCCCATTTTTTTGAAATGAAAATAGGTGGAATATGTTTTTATAAAAAATGAGTGGTCAATAAAAATTGAAAAGTTTTCAATTTATGTGTAATATTATTTTATGGAAGATTGTGCGATTGAAAATAGGAGAGAAAAAAAGAGATGTAATTTAATGGGGCCAAATGGGGGGGGGGGGGGGGGGTTTACAATTCAATAATTAATTCTATAAGCAAAATATTACATTTAAAATAAAATTAAATGTCCCGTGGGTGTGTTATTTGCCAAATGAATTGGTACATTTTATTTGATTGACAATTATTATTTTTGCATTCAATAAAAATCGACTTTTTGATATTATGCAATTTTGAAATAAAAATAAATTTATATATGAATTTGAGATAAAGGATAAAGTCCATATACTTTAATTGATGCTAACCATGTCCGAGCTCTAAAAGGGGATATTTTATGAATATTAGAATTTTACTCAAACACAAATTCTAAAAGAATATAAAAAGGTTCAAAAGAATTTAATAAAAATAAATATGTGTAGATAAATTTAAAATGATATATTTTTATTTAATTTTATATATGTCTATTTAGGTAAATTTACATAAGATTGAAATATATGGTCTGTTTGATTTCCATTTTTATCAAAATGCATTTTTCTCTTTCTTCCTTTTAACCACACATTTTTCATTAAAATAATATTACACGTAAATTAAAAACTTTTCTTTATTTTTCATTGACACATTTCATCAATAAACTATTCTACCATTCTAAAATTCATTTTTCCATATAATATAATTATCTTTCAAAAAGTGGATGTGTGTGTGTGTGTGTGTACCAGTGAGGTTGCAACCCCAATTTAGATGGCACCGAATGATAGGTTAAATGAAAATTGAAATTAAATGAGTTAATTCCACCTATCAATTAATGCCACATATATTAACGCCATCTAAATTGAGGTAGCAACCTTAGTATGGTTAAATAGCATTATTCATATAAAAACTATGGATATAATAGTGCCACCTAAAAGTTATTTTAATTTTTTTTTGGAAAATAACTTTTAAAAGAGTTGTCAATTTCAAAAATATTTGTAGAGAAGTCACAATTGATCAACTTTCTCTAAATTAATTCTTGATTCTCAAAAGTTCCTTTTAACTTTTCCAAAGTCATATCAAATGGGCTTGAAAAACCCAATGAAAAAGCGAATAGAGTGCTAAACAAATTAAAAATTATTTTGGGTCTTTTTTCTATGTTTGGTTTACTAATAGTAGGAAAAATTGCAGCAAAGATCTCAAACCTTTTAATTTACTACAGATTACACCTTACCTTTTTATTTTTGTGGCCACAGTCCAAAACCTTTCATTTTATCGACAGTCGGAGTCCATTGGACATAATCCATCAATTGATTCATTAGTCAACATCAAAATTAATATTTTGACTCAACTTGACAAATTAAGTAAAGGTAATAAAGTAAATTAACATTTTCTATAATAAAGCAATTAAAATAACTTTATTTTCTACAAACCTTCCCATCCAACAAATCAAAAGCCAGGCCCACTTTAGAGCTTATTGGTCATGCGAAACCCGCAAGCATATGTAATTGTTCATAAGTAATAGATTCGAGCAAGTTGAGAGTATCATTCCACAGAGAATAAATTCAATTCAAGATTACGAGTTATGTATGTTATCTTTGTTCCTGATGAATTTGATGACATTCTTGTGTATAAAGAGATTGGAGAGAGACTCTTAAATTTGTTGCCCAAGGTTTCAGTTTATAGAAATCCAAAATTCATCCCAAAATTAAATGCAATTTCAATAGAATTAAAATTCTGAACACAGCTGGAAATTGCACGTGAAGTCCCTGGAATAACACATGTTCGTATTGGTATACCTATCAAGAGTGTGCCATTGAGCCAAATGGCTCTCGGCTTGGAAAAACAATGGCCTCAAACGCTCACTTTAACCTTAATTGCCCCTGCACGCACACTACGGTTTACGTCGGTTAGTCCTTGAAAAGCTATTGGTATTTTGGTTCTCTATCGATATTTGATTGAGGTGATTCAAAATATGTTAGAAAGATAACTCAAAGGGTTACAATTTCTCTAGAAGTAGAAAATTTCCAATTCAAATGTTTACTATTCGAACAATGGGTCTCAATTTGATGCTGAAAATATGGAGCATAATTTTTTCGAGTAGAAATTGATTTGTAAAAATCCTTTGACTATATTTCACTCATTTGACCTCCAATTGCATCTAATAGATCATATATGATCTTAATAATCAGTTTATGGTCCAAATCAACTATTGGATGTTTACACTTTGGTTTCCAAATTTTGAATTTCTTTCGTTTTTGCCCATTTTCCTTCATTTCTTCCAGTTCTATCAATTTGCGTCAAGTTTCACCTAACAACCAAAATTAACATTTAGTTTAGCCATAAGCCATCAAAATTAATTACAATTGATCACATTTAACGGCCTAGCTAAGTGTGTAAAATACACTTATCAAACATCCTAAACTTGAACAATTATGTTGCCCTCAAACAAAATCGATTTTGACTTGAAAAATTAAACAAGCATGATTAGATAATTTGCCTTAGGTCTCAAGATTGAAATTTATGTATCAAAACTATAAAGTGCTTCAAAATTACATTGCTAAAATTAATTTCCACTTATCCAATGCAAAATAGATGCTTGTGTGTGAAAATTTGTGTAAAGCATCATAAATTCACTTTATCGTCAAAAAAGAATATAAAAATAAAAAAACTTCATTCTTCACCAATAATATTGCTAGAATACAGAGGAAAATATTTATTTCTTCTTTTGGCCATAGCCAAAGAGTTCGCGCCATCTTCCATGGCCATATCTCTCTATGTCACCCAATAGAACACCCCCCATCCTACGGAATGTGTGCCAAAATGCAACATGAAATCACATCCAATCCTATGGTAGATAATGTATTTATCAAAGCCCATCAATTTAAATCCTCACAAATGGTTAAGAAATAAAATAATATTCACGAAGAAAAATCTCACCTTCATTTTCCCCAAGAATCTCGTCATCAGCATTATACCATTTAAAGGAAAGAGGATTCTTGCTAGAAGAACCCTGCATATACATTGAAAAACAAACACAGAAATATCTCATAGGTTAAGGTTGACTTTAAGAAATAGACACTGTCAAAAGAATAAAAGGGAAGTTAAATTTCATTCATTATAGTGCTAAGCGCTTAATCCTATCTAATAGGATGTATCAATTATGTTTAAAATATAGGACTCCAAGCATGCAGCATATGTTCTAATATTCCAACAAATTGTGTGGACTTCTTTAAATCATACTTATCTTAGGAATGTCAAAGAAGAACTCCCCTTTCCATTCACCTGAATCACTGGCACAATCACTACCAACATCTGTAGAGCTAAAAGAATGGACTACAAGAAGCAGCTACATGGTAAATGAGATAAAAAGTTGACAAAACATCGAATCCTCCTTGGTCCTCCGTGTGGCAAAACTACCATGATTAGTCTCCATTATTTCCTCACAGGAAAATGGTAATTGAGATTATAACACTTTACAAGATCTCCAAAGCTGCACCCATGAAAAGTGAAACATACCCTCACAGCAAAATGTGGCTGAATTCTCAGCAACTGAGTAAATATAACATCTACCAAAAATAAATCACAGCATAGCGATTTATATGTGAAAACAAGAATAATTCTTTTATTTCTTGTACATACATCAAGCTTCTAAAACCTTTCAATCTATAATACGAGTGGGAAAAGATAAAAAGGAAGAAAATCTCCTAAATTAGGAGACTTTGAAACTACCGTAATTACATAAAGCTAGTTATGGAAAAAAAAAAAAAAAAAAAAAAACTAAATATCATATACAAGTAAATAGAAAAAAAATCTTCAGGATTTTTTGTTACTCCCCTTCAAGTTGGATGATAAATATTAACCATATCCAACTTGCTAATGAACTCTTCGAAACTTTGTCGCGATAGTCCTCCGACTCTGATTCATTGTCTTCTGCTACACGTCTTCTATTATTTTTTCTCCGAACTACAGGCTCAGCCATCCGCTCATTATTGATTGCCCGTTGTTCATTCTGCCCATTATTTTTAACACCCAGTAGAAGCAATTGACGAATTTCTTTCGATCTGAGTAGCGAGATTGTCAATCCGTTCATCAAGCCATCAGTTTGATACATCTAAATCTGCTCTAGTAACTGGTACGTCACCCATGTTATGAATCAAAAGCTATCGAGAC